AATAACTAGAGGGCGGTTTCATGATTATTCCGTCCATTTTAGCTATTACACTATAATTTATTCATAATTGCCAGATTTAGTCAGTGTGCACATAATAAACGTGTTGAAGTTTGAAAGAGAACTACTTTTTCTGGCGATGGTGTAAGTTCAAGGAGTGATATGATTTACCTTTGACCTAGAGTTGAATTAGAATGGAAATAACTGTACTGTGTTTGACGAATTGGGGACGTATACCGGTGGTTATATGGCCGCAAATTTAACGTTACACGCGTCGCCGATATAACGTTAAATTTGCGGCTATATAACCACCGGTATACGTCCCCAATTCGTCAAACACATTACATTTATCCCCTAATTATCATCCCAAACGGTGTTCCACTGGAGATATTGTTTGTGTGAGATTTTGTACAATGCCTTGACGTCATCAATTTACATGACTCACAATGCTATGACGTTAAAAACCCGATGACATAACAATGCGATGACGTCATCAACATGATGACATCACAATGCTATGACATCGCTGCACTGCAAGTCTGCAAGGCAGTACTGTGGTCAGAGATGTACATTTTTCATTGTAATGAAGAGTGATTTTTCATGATAAATTGAAGCCTCTGATATTTGTATCTTTATCAACTCGTGTTGATATAACTGATATAAGTAGACACTAGGATGAGATTCTCTACTTATCGTAACATGCATTACCCTTTCTCTCAAATGTGAAACGTTTTCAACAAATACGGGTAGAGCGTTGATAGTTAACTCCTATTCCTTAAATGGCCCTCCTCAACGCGTCTCGTGATGCGTGTCGCTTCCACAAAGAGTCATATCCGACATAGTCATAGAAGCCAATAGAAGAGATTTGCCACTTAAGTATTCTGTAGACGTAGATTGTCGTAAACATTCGTTAAGGGGGGCCTCGGAAGAGACAGACTTCGGATGAGATAGGTATGGGGAAGGGTTGGCGGTTTAGGGGTTGAGGGGGTGGTTAGGATTGTGAGGGTCACCTGGCTGGTTGTGCAGAAATGTCTACTGTTCTATAAACTACTTCTACCACCACCACCACCAACACCACCAACACCACCGCCACTGCCCCTGCTGCCGCTACCCCTACCCCTACCACTACCACCATCACTACTACTACTATTACTACTACTACTATTACTACTACTACTACTACTACTACTATATAGGCACACCCAGATTAGAATTGATCATCTCAGTAACCCATGCTTGTCGTAAGAGGCGACTAACGGGATCGGGTTGTCAGGCTCTCTGACTTTGTTGACACATGTCATCGTATCCTAAATGTGTAGACCGATGCTCATGCTGTTGATCACTGGATTGCCTTGTCCAGACTCGATTATTTACAGACAGTCGCCATATAGCTGGAATATTGCTGAGTGCGGCGTAAAACTAAACTCACTCACTACTTCCAGGACGGTATCGGTACACATATACTATACTACATCCATGTTGTCAAGCCGAGCATTCAATAGCAGTACAACATTGGCTTAGAGGGATTACCAGGGGTAGTCATAGCGGCAGTAATACACTCAGACTGACACGTCAAGAGCATGTAAGTCAGCAGGTCTAATCCCGGCCTTGGATTACACAACCCAGCGTTCAGGACCTGTGTACCCCCCTGCCTACCCGGCTTATCCCACGCTTACAAGATAAGCGGCATTTATAGCATGATTGTCAATAATGCAGGCAAATAAGATCAGATGAGATCTCGTAAATCAGGAAGAAATGAATGATTTAGTGACAAGCACAATGCAGAATTTAATACGGAACTCAGGACAAATGCCCTTAAGTCTGTATGTTTAAGTCGGGACGGTGGGGTAACCTAGTGGTTAAAGCGTTCGCTCGTCACGCAGAAGACCTGGGTTCGATTCCCCACATGGGTACAATGTGTGATGCACATTTCCGGACCCTCCGTCGTGATATTGCTGGAATATTACTAAAAGCGGCGTAAAACTCATTCTCTGTCAATGCGATTTCAGTTTTTTTGTCAATATATTTTATTATCATAATTTTCATATGTTTTTAAAGCAGAATTCTATCACCTAGTGGATGAAACGTATAGAAGTTCATAAAACTTAATTGAAATATAATTATTCTTGGCTTTTAATTTCCGCCTAACGAGTCCATTCAGTCCTTGCTACAGTCAATGTGTAAAATGCGATTCAGTCTGTTTACAGGTATATTTCAAAATATGATATTATCATAACGAATTCCAAATGGTTTAACTTAATTCCATAACCCAGTGTATGGAAGGTATAGGGGGTACGGAAAGCGAAACTCACATATAAGTATTCTTGGCTTTTAAGGCCAAACGAGTCCATTATGACGTTTAAAGTCTTAAGTATGTTTTAGGCAGTATATCAAATGCGGGGACACATGCTAGTTTGTGAAATGGCTGAAATAAACAGGCAATTTGTATATTGAATGATATCATAAATATTGACTAAACATGTGCGTAATTACAGCCGTAATTAATGTCGGTTCAGAGATAATGTTGTTTTATTACATAATATACATATTCACATCTGAATATCGTAGATGCGTTTTGTAGGAAACGAGATTTGTAATTCGACAATCAAAACGATTTATGAAAATATTTGCACTGATTTTATAAAAATAACCCAAAGCACCAAGTGTGTACTTTGTTTTGGACGTCAGTATAGTACTTACAGTGAGTGAGTGAGTGTGTAAGTACGGTTTTACGCCGCTTTTAGCAATATTCCAGCAATATCACGGGCGAGGACACCAGAAATGGGCTTCACACATGGGCCACCCCATCCATGGGGTGGTACTTACAACTGAGAACGGGTATCACATATGTTTACGTCCTTAACACTACGTTGTTTACTAAAACTCATTTAGCTATGAAACTCAGCTTATGGATAAATATTTATCACTAAACGAAAACTGACATGATATTTAACCTAGTCATCCTTCATCTCACTTCCTTAGCTCGTCTTCAGTCCAGCCAATAGAGCTGAAGTCTCATTGTGTCATGGACAAGCATCTGTTATCTAGTAACCGAGATTAAATATTTACTCTCATGTTTTATTCGTCTTGGCTATTGATAGTTTTCTCTGCGTATTCAAAGTGTATTCTTCCTTGAACCTGCTGGGTATCTGTATGTCGGGGAACGATTTGCTTACAATTATTTTTCATATATTTCTAACGTGCATCTGCCTCAAGTCTTCCAACATCACATAAGCTAATAAGGGCGACATCTGACTAAGTTTCAATAAACAATACATAAAGCCTAAAAAATGTTATCCATCAAACGTGTCATGTATTCAAGCAAGACATGGCAGCCAATACCACCAGTCTGCAGGGAGTTTATACATTTGCAATGCCTACATTCGTTCACTAACTATAGATCTACAGGTAAGCAATCTGAAACAGCTTCATGCTGTAATTACTCCCTCGTTGTGGTATTCTTTTTACAACCGAGTTAATGTTTAAGAGATAATTAACTTGTAGCGATTTATCGTGCATATTTTATCAAATACGGTGCTTAGCTGAGGTTATTCGGTGGTGGGGTAGCCTAGTGGTTAAAGCGTTCGCTCGTCACGCCGAAAACCTGAGGTCGATTTCCCACATGGGTACAATGTGTGAAGCCTATTTTCTGGTGTCCCCCGCCGTGATATTGCTGGAATATTACTCAAATCTGCGTAAAACTAAACTCACCTCTGCCAACTCACTACTGAGATAATGACAAAGAAACACAATTTACATTCATACTGACCAGGTTACGTTGTTATTAGTCGAGGAAAAGTCTGTCTATTGTCGACCAGGTGTCCTATCGATCGCCATGACGTGCGCGCTTCCTTATAAGAGCGCTTGTTTGTTAAAGGATAGAAGGAAAAATGGCCTTTGTCGATCTTTTGATACATATAAGGAAGATCTATACGTAATGTGCCAAGTAGCAGCAATGCTGTAGGGATTATATTAACACCAGTTCTGTCACAGTGGATGTATTTTATTTCATGTTTAGAACTTCACAATCCATCAACGTCGGACGCAATCCTCGAGAATCTTACTGAGACACCACGTGACTTCTATTCCCCCCGGCCTTAGTATTCAAGGTGGACAGACCCCATCGATCAGGAGGTATTGATTCATAGTATCTGTGGCTGGATACTTGTACATCGGTAACTCTATAGCAGGATGCATGGACTCAGGTGTGAACGAACACACAAATCCATAATTGCGAACAATATGCATAAATAGAGCGGTCGCTGTTCAGCCGCATGGACGTCAGCTTAGTGTCGGGTGTTGGGTCTGTCGTCTGGTGATGGGTCTTGTGTTGGTAGTCTGATGTCGTGCGTTGGGTCTGATGTCGGGATGGGTGTTCCGGTGTCGGGGGTCTGGAGTCGGGGTGGGGGTCTGGTGTCGGGGGTCTGGTGTCGGGATGTGGGTCTGGTGTTGGGATGGGGTCTGGTGTCGGAATGTGGGTCTGGTGTCGGGATGGGGTGTCTGGTGTTGGGATGGGGGTCTGGTGTCGGGGAGTCGGGGTAGAGGGTCTGATGTCGGGATTAGGGTCTGGTGTTGGGATGGGGGTCTGGTGTCGGGGTCTGGTGTCGGGATGGGGTCTGGTGTCGGGATGGGGGTCTGGTGTCGGAATGGGGGGGGTCTGGTGACGGGATCGGGGTTTGGTGTCGGGATGTGGGTCTGGTGTCGGGGGTCTGGTGTCGGGATGGAGGCGTGGTGCCGGAGGTCTGGTGTCGGGATGGGGGTATGGTGTCGGGATGTGGGTCTGGTGTCGGGATGGAGGCGTGGTGCCGGAGGTCTGGTGACGTGTGTTGAATCTGGTGTTGTGTGTTTAGTCTGGTGTCGGTGGTCTGGTGTCGGGAGTTGGGTCTCTGGTGTCGGGTTCTGAGTCTGGTCTCGCGTTTGGGTCTGGTGTCGTGTGTTGGGTCTCGGGGGGTTCTAGGTCTGGTGTCGGGTGTTGGATCTGGGTTCGGGATAGAGGTCTGGCCTTAGGTGCTGGATCTGGTGGCGTGTATTTGGTTTAGTCTGGTGTCGGGATGTGGGTCTGGTGTCGGGATGTGGGTCTGGTGTCGGGATGGGGGTCTTGTGTCGGGATGTGGGTCTTGTGTCGCGATGTGGGTCTGGTGTCGGGATGTGGGTCTGGTGTCGGGATGGGGGTCTGGTGTCGGGATGTGGGTCTGGTGTCGGGATGGGGGTCTTGTGTCGGGATGGGGGTCTTGTGTCGCGATGTGGGTCTGGTGTCGGGATGTGGGTCTGGTGTCGGGATGTGGGCCTTGTGTCGGGATGGGGGGTCTGGTGTCGGGATGGGGGTCTGGTGTCGGGATGGGGGTCTTGTGTCGGGATGGGGGTCTGGTGTCGGGATGGGGGTCTGGTGTCGGGATGGGGGGGGTCTTGTGTCGGGATGTGGGTCTGGTGTCAAGATGGGGGTCTTGTGTCGGGATGGGGTCTGGTGCCGTGTTCTGGTCTCGGGTGCTGGGCCTGATGTTGGGGTTGTGGTCTCGTGATGGGGGGAAGGGGATCTGGTATCGGGATGGGGGTCTGGTGTTTGGTGTAGTGGTGTAGGGGTCTTGTGTACACAGCCGGACAGGGGTTAGTGTTGGGTGTTTTGTGTACGTGTCGGACTTACGGCGTGTGTAGGACGATAGGTCGGTTGTCTTGAATAGGGTTGGATCTGGTTTCGGGTAACACATTATTTATTAACAACATTATGTATACACTGGTAAGCAGTAAATCTTAAATAAACAACTGGGGGAATTGAGGAAGTCGAAGCTGGGAAACAAACCTGTGACGGTGAGACCTAAGGCTGTTCCTGTTCACGGTACAAATCACGTATCGATACAAAACAATACAGTTATATATGAGTATGATAATACATTCTGTCAGCATGCACTGACTTGTAGCCAGTTTTGCGTATGGATTCATATATAATTAACATGTTATGGTTGGGGTCATTCATCATCTGCCATGATGGCACCCGTCTCAGTACAGGCTACAGCGGTAATGTCCATTATATCGTGAATGGCTCCAGACAGACTAGACATGCCTATGCCATCTTTACCACAGTAAATGTAACACAACCACCAGGCTGTACAGCATGATCCCAACATTTGTTAAATTAGCAAGATATATTCATGATGCACAGTATTATTTCATTTTATCATCCGGGGCGGTGGGGTAGCCTAATGGTTTAAGCGTTGGCTCGTCACGCCGAAGACCCGGGTTCGAATCCCCACATGGGTACAATGTGTGAAGCCCATTTCTGGTGTCCCCCGCCGTGATGTTGCTGGAATATTGCTAAAAGCGGCGTAAAACCAAACTCAGTCAGTCATTTTATCATCCAGTCTGTATTATTGTGTTGTGATCGTCACTCCAATACTTCAACGTAGACTTACGACAGTCGTAGCGCTACGATTGCTTTGAGGAACGAGGCCCTAGCCTGTTTCCTAACCTGGTATACCCACTTAATGGACACCTGACAGTTTCTGTAAGTGAATTTAGAAAATGGCGTGATGAACAAGGACCTGTTACCATGGAAACGCAGCTTCATAACTACAGCATAGTCGGCGTTTTGCTGTAATTTCCAACACCTTTATGAAGCAAGTGTCTCGTCAAAGCTCGTTCTAAGTATGACCACCCCCACAGTCAGGACACTGTGTACACCGAACGCGTATCAATCCAACCCACTGCCCTCCACTACAAGCTACAAGCGTCTGTACCATGGTAACTATCTCAGTACATGTAATTAAAGTCTTATCTAATTCTTGCCATTCATTTTGAAGTTGTGTAATTGCAGTTACGGCTGTATTCACGCAATTGGTTCATAGAGTTGGAAGGTATTAACGTAAAGAATATTCAAGACAAAAAATTGAGTAACATGTGATAATGATATTGACGTTCTACTATGTGTTCACTGTAATGATATACGTAAAATGTAATCAAACAGTAATATTGAATAAACCTTCAATAATTAAGATAAGAAACAACGTTCAACAGTTTTCCCATGTTTTAGCGTTTAACATGTTACCAACAATTAGATTTAGAATCTTGTTATAGACATTTTAAGAAAAATAAAGATCGTATTTGTATTTCTCTAGACATTATATACCTCAGTGTCAAGATGATGTTTGCTGTGTCTCGACTTCGGCGAACGATAGTAGTTAACGAACGATAAACAGTGAGCTCAAGGTTTATACAGAACTGAACTGAAGTGAAGTCCCTTGCTTCAGCAAACGGATAGGCATTTTTCAGCGCACAACATAATTCTTCATACGACAGACGCGCTGTCTGTTGCTATGTGTCCGACTACGAGATACAAAACACAAGTCATATTATGATTATTATATGGGTAGAACAGCACCGGGTGGACATACCCGTACTTTGGAAAAAACACATTCACATTCATAAACTTACAATCTCAAACATATAAATAATACAATCACAACAGAGATTGATAAAAAAGACACTTTACCTACCTACTGTATCAGAATGCGATATTTAATCCTGCTTAAATGTTGATACAGCTCAACCACCCCGGGAGATCTCGCGTGAAGTAACAGCGCGAGACTTCTCACGTGGTGAGACGGTAGCTATTATGATCGCACAGTTGACGCGAGGCTCAGACCACTTTGATGGAAAGTATGGCCTGAGGACGGGGGTCTAGCAACAGCCCAAATATTTACAGGTGCTCGTTATGCTATTGACTGCTCACTGGCACGACAGAAGCGGCAGGGAATATAGATACACGATACACAGTTCAAGATGAAAGTGTAAGATACACAAATACTTGTGTCCAATATAGTCGCCTGTCCGTTGGCCCGTAGCAGGTAGATTTCGTCACCGTTTAATATTTCCATGTCTCCTAAAGGCATACGGTTAATTCACGTTTCGTTTTCTTTGTCGTTTTTAATGAACTGAAGAGATTGGTAGTATCTGAAGACCGTGCATCATCATTGCAGACCGACACTTTGGTTTATAATTAATAATAATAATAATAATAATAATAATGTGGGTATTTATATAGCATATGCTATAACATATGCTATGTAACTTTCTTAGTAAAGTACACATTCTCATAGTTTTGTCATCGTATCCCAATTGCGGATCGATGTTCATGCTGTTCATCCCTGGATTGTCTGGTCCAGACTCGATTATTTACTGACCGCCGCCATATAGCTGGAATATTTCTAAGTGCGGCGTAAAACTAAACTCACTCACTCACTTTGTGTATGGCATACAGCTATCCTTGGCAGTGTACGTTATTTGATACATAGTAGTTATGCTGTTTCACTACTTATGTAATGAGTGAGTGAGTATGGGTTTACGCCGCTTTTAGCAATATTCCAGCGATATCATGGCGGGGGACACCAGATATGGGCTTCACACATTGTAGCAATGTTGGGAATCGAACCCGGGTCTTCGGCGTGACGAGCGTACGCCGCAACAACTAGGCTACCCCACTGCCCCTAAATAATGAAAATGGACACACAGATACACCGGGTATAGTAATTCCCACTTTTATCTGATTTCATGAACAGGATTTCTTTCATTGACACTTGAACATACCGGGAGCCTCGTTCTCAGACACGCTGTAAGACACTAACCCTAGAGTCAAAACGTTGTCAATGTACAGATCGTTTCAACGAGCTGATGGCTTACAGGAGTCGTCTCCCTTGAGTGAGTTGATTCAGTGAGTGGTACTCTTGTACAGCAGAGGCTCCAGAAAACACGGTGACCAGCGTGCGTGCGTGTATGCATGCGTGCGTGCATGTATGCGTGTATGCATGCATGCATGTATGTATGGCATTGTATGTATGTATGTATGTATGTATGTGAATATTGATGGACGGACGGATGGGCGGATTGGTAGATATATGTTGTATGTGACTACGTGCATGCACGTGTGAGTGTGTGTGTGTGTGTATACTGAGATGGCTCTTCAACGACTTTTGACGATGCTTAGAATGCAGTCATTGCTCAGGTTTCAACTGCAATGACACAACTGTTCCACATACATCAACTGCACGTTCAGCCTTTCCCATACGCATACGCATTAACGAACGCATACAGCAAAGCGGCATACCAACGCTTGCGGGTTTTATCGAAATGGTGAACGTGTGCGATGTGCCTGTTCTTTGACTTTTCTCCAAGGTTAGGCTGACAGGCCGTGAAATAACCTGAATACTGTTAAAAGCGGCGTACGTCACGCCGAAGACGGCGATTCCCCACAAGCCATAGCCCACTGGTGTCCCTCACTATATTGCTAAAGCGGCTGTATCAGTCAGTGCGTAAAGCCACGTCTGATTGAACTAACATTTTGAAATATGGCTGGCTACATTTTAAGAGACATCGTGCTTAGAGTTAACGCCCTTGTTTGTCAAACATGGGAAGCCTGGTCATTCGGAGTCTCTTGTTTCTACACATGAACAGCACGTGATAATTCGAGACTATTTCGACCTGACCTGCGTCTAGTTTGATTTCGGAGTTGAGTATGAAGAATTACATACATTTCTTCTCCAGTCATCCTATCCATACGCCATTTGTAACCTAAGTTACGATGGGTCGTACCGTTACGAACGCTTTGGGTACCCAGGTATTTCGGGGAGTGGTATGACCATTCCTTCTGCCACCAAGAGATGATGTTACTGCCGCAGTTTACTGGGTCCCTAGCAGCCACCGGCTTCATCCGAACAGGAAGCATCACCGACATATCGTCTTGTGAATAAGCACTAAGGTGATCGTAAGTCACTAACGTCACCAAGAGCAATGTTAAAGAATGGGAGTTAAGGTTAGCCTTAGTAAAGGTTGCTTCGTGTAAGCATCCCCTAAACAATAGTCTGACTGTAGCTTCCTGAACACCATTAAACAGTAAACTACGGTTATAACGAACTGTCGGACATAACGAACTGACGGAAATAACGAACTGTCGGATATAACGAACTAAAGGAAATAGCTAACTGTCGGAAATAACGAACTGACGGAAATAACGAACAAACGGAAATAACGAACTGTCGGAAATAACGAACTGTCGGAAGTAAGAAACTGTCGGATATAACGAACTGTCGGATATAACGAACTGTCTAATATGACGAACTGTCGGATATGACGAACTGTCTGAAATAACGAACTGACGGATATGACGAACTGTCGGATATTACGAACTGACGGATATAACGAACTGTCTGATATGTCGATTTGTCTGATATGACGAACTGTCTGATATAACGAACTGACGGATATAACGAAATGTCCGATATGACGAACTGTCTGAAATAACGAACTGACGGATAAAACGAACTGTCCGACATGACGAACTGTCTGACATAACGAACTGACGGATATAACGAACTGTCGGATATAACGAACTGTCCGATATGACGAACTGTCGGGAATGACGAACAGTCTGACATAACGAACTGACGGAAATAACGAACTGACGGATATAACGAACTGTCGGAAATAGCAAACTGTCGGATATAACGAACTGTCGGAAATAGCAAACAGTCGGATATAACGAACTGACGGATATAACGAACTACAGTTCTGAGGAGCAACAACTGGTTGTCCCTTTAGGTTCGTTATAACCGTAGTTTACCTCAAACAAGACATTGTGATTGTTTCCATCTTACGCTCTCAGGATTTCGCAGAGTGCCGTGGGTTTAGATTGGTTTGGACGTTGTTTAATGCCGCACTCAGCAATATTCCAGCTATATGACGGTGGTATGTAAATAATCGAGTCTAGACAAGACAATCCACTGATAAACAGCACGAGCATCGTTACGCCGCTTTTAGCAAACAATATCACGGCGGGGGGAAACCAGAAGTTGGGATAAGATGAGCATGACCGTGTCAACCAAGTGAGCGATATGTGTCAACCAAGTGAGCGAGCCTGACCACCCGATCCCGTTAGTCGCCTCTTACGACAAGCATGGATTGCTGATGACCAATTCTTACCCGGATCTTCACGGGTCAGTGCTGTGGGGTGTGGAATACCAGGAATAATGAAGCAAGTAAAAATGCAGAAATCATGGTAGGAAACATGATTTATATTCCCAACATTCAGCAACAAATGGAATTTTTGGTCAGAATACCATTCATTCTTCCACCTTCAGTATGACTTGATAAGATGGTCACATCCTATCACAGGAAGGGTCTCTCGCAGATGAAGCCGTAAGCGCTGGTGGCGGTGCCGGTGGCCCACATCCAGTCGGTGTAGGCTGCGTTACTGGCGGGGTTGACCATGCAGATGCGGTACTGGTAGGTGCTGCTGGTAGGCTCTTTCGGACCCCATCTCGTGTACTGGACACGCGCCATGTCCAGCCACGCCCACTCCTTCGTTGCCATGATGTAGTAGCCCCCCAGCCAGTAATAACTGGGATGAGTCGCCGCTGTCATAGTAACATACACGTCAGTACCTGATACGACAGGCTGTACAACATGGGCTGGTCAGTAGCTATACTTCATGGTACAGGGTTGTATCAACACAACAAGGCATAATACAGATATGTTCTACCTGTATTCCTTTGCACTCACTTAGTACAAGGTGTACCTCCTGTATTTCTTTAAACTCACCAGGTACAGAAGTGTACCAACTGTTTCCTGAAGCTCACCTGGCACAGGGGTGTATACGCGCTACCTGTGTGTCTTGGGACTTACGCTCTACATAGGTATATTACCTGTATATCTAGAAGCTCATCTGCTACAGAGGTCTAGCTGTATGTCATGACTCTCATCTGCTACAGAGGTTTAGCTGTATGTTTTGACGCTCAATTGCTACAGAGGTGTACTACCTGTATGTTGTGACGCTCATCTGAGATGGCGGTGTACTACCTGTATTCGTTGAATTTCACCCGTCACAGAGGTATTCGCCCAGTATTTGTTAAAGCCGATATAGTACAGTAGCTCTATGTCAACCTGGTAAAAGGGCGTACTCCACTGTATTCTTGAAGCTCACCTGCTACAGAGTTGAAGAGTCCCACAAGGAAGAAGTCCTCGGCCTGGTCGTCGACAGACGCGAGGTCAGCGCCACGTCGCTGGCAGTCCAGTCTGGCATTGTCCCAGGTCAGAGTCCAGTTGGCCATATAGAAACACGAGCGTGGTCCGACCACGAAAGTCGGGGGACACTCTTATAAATACAGAATAAAGAGGAACTGTTGTTAGAGACGCATAAGACCGTGATGGAAGATATCTATACAAGGATAATATTATTGGTATGTGACGTACACTGAAACTCACTACTTGTGGTGTGTGCTATATAGAGAATACCTCACGAAGTGTCATTACATACGAATTATACGAAACGAGTGTCCTGAGTTTCGTATAATTCGTATGTTATGAGACCGAGTGTGGTATTTTATTTATTACCCACTTACATGCTTTGAATTGACAAAATAGCGTATTTTTGGTATTGTTATGGTTTCAAACCGAAACCGGTTTCATAAAGAGGTTGTGGAAGAATGTTGTTCTGTAGTACACTTTTTGCATGACGTCACACTGTAATGACGTCACTACGCCTTGCTCGTCTGCCCTTTGGTAACCGACGTCACGATGCATGTCAGTTGTCATCGCCTCGTACAGCCTCCTACATTAAACTACTCCGTAGCACCCTGTTTTTTAGTTTGCAGTTGCTTCACTCGGCTAACATCACTGGTGGAATCTTTGCGTTTATGTTTTTCGACGCATATAATGTCTCAGTTCGACTCACAATTAAACAGCGACACGGCAACGTTCGCAATGTTTACATTCCCACAATGCATAAAAGTTGTAGAATGAATGAATTCACGTTTTTGTTATGAATGAAAAAGTAGTTCCGTCACAACGTGACCTCATTGAGAGGTCATCGGTTATCCAATCAAATCGTTAGAATCTCAGGTCAAGTCGTTACGACACAGGTCAACGCGATACGACAATCGTGTAACGTACGAGATTAGAATGCAACTACCCATACGTTGACCACGTGGGTAATAAACACTGATACTCACTGCCTGTGGTATGTGATATACACTGACACTCACTGCCTGTGGTATGTGATATACACTGATACTCACTGCCTGTGGTATGTGATATACACTGACACTCACTGCCTGTGGTATGTGATATACACTGATCTGGGTTGGAGTCACTAGACCAATCATGCTTGCATAATAACCAATGATACTCACTGCCTGTGGTATGTGATATACACTGACACACACTGCCTGTGGTATGTGATATACACTGACACTCACTGCCTGTGGTATGTGATATACACTGATACTCACTGCCTGTGGTATGTCATATACACCGATACTCACTGCCTGTGGTATATCCCACCGGGGTGACTGGCGTTGTTCAGGACAGAGACCCCAGGCACAGATGGGCGTTGCAGTCGTCGGCTCACAGCACTGTGGTATGTGATATACACTCACAAGGAATCAATTAGACGAGAAGTGATTCATGGAAGCTTGCGATGTTGTGGTACTCACTGCCTGTGGTATGTGATATACTGTTCACACACCAAGAGATGGTACTGACTGAGTGGGATTATATAGATGTCCCTACTACTCACTGCCTGTGGTATGTGATATAAAGGTGCGCAAACTAGTGGATTATATAGGTGTCCCAACTAGTGGATTATATAGGTGTCCCAACTAGTGGAGTATATAGGTGTCCCAACTAGTGGATTATATAGGTGTCCCAACTAGTGGAGTATATAGGTGTCCCAACTAGTGGATTATATAGGTGTCCCAACTACTAGTGGAGTATATAGGGATTATATAGGTGTCCCAACTAGTGGATTATATAGGTGTCCCAACTAGTGGATTATATAGGTGTCCCAACTAGTGGAGTATATAGGTGTCCCAACTAGTGGATTATATAGGTGTCCCAACCCATGAGATTATATAGGTGTTCCAACTAGAGGATTATAAAGGTGCGCCAACTAGTGAAGTATATAGGTGTCCCAACTATTGGATTATATTGGTCTCCCAACTAGTGGAGTATATAGGTGTCCCAACTAGTGGAGTATATAGGTGTCCCAACTAGTGAAGCATAAGGTTTTCCAACTAGTGGATCATATAGGTGTCCCAACCCATGAGATTATATAGATGTTCCAACTAGAGGATTATAAAGGTGCGCCAACTAGTGAAGTATATATGTGTCCCAACTAGTGGATTATAAAGGTGCGCCAACTAGTGGATTATATAGGTGCCCCAACCCATGGGATTATATAGGTGTCCCAACCCATGAGATGATATAGGTGTTCCAACTAGTGGATTATAAAGGTGCACCAACTAGTGGAGTATATATGTGTCCCAACCACTGGATTATATAGGTGTCCCAACTAGTGAAGAATATATGTGTCCCAACCCATGAGATTATATAGGTGCGCCAACTAGTGGATTATATAGGTGCCCCAACCCATGGGATTATATAGGTGTCCCAACTAGTGGATTATATAGGTGTCTCAACGCATGAGATTATATAGGTGTCCCAACAAGTGGATTATTTTGGTGTCCCAACTAGTGGATTATATTGGTGTCCAAAGCCATTGGATTATGTAGGTGTCCGAACTATTGGATTATATAGTAGTTCCAACCGATAAGATTATAAAGGTGTCCCAACTATTGGAGTATAAAGGGGACCCAACCACCTGCTTATATAGGTGTCCCAAATAGTGAAGTATATAGGTGTCCCAACTAGTGGATTATATAGGTGTCCCAACTAGTGGATTATATAGGTGTCCCAACTACTGGATTATATAGGTGTCCCAACTACTGGATTATATAGGTGTCCCAACCCATGAGATGATATAAGTGTTCCATCTAGTGGATTGTAAAGGTGTCTGAACCCATGGGACTGTATAGGTGTCCCAACTGATTATATTGGTGTCCCAACCCATTGGATAATGTATGTGTCCCAACTATTGGATTATATAGGTGTCCGAACTAGTTGATTATATAGGTGTCTCAACCCATGGGATTGTATAGGTGTCCCAACTACTGTATTATATAGGTGTTCCAAACCAATGGGTGATGTTGACGCCAAGAGGATGATATGATGTTACCGCCCAGATTATGGATGATACTGATGTTACCGCCCAGTGGATGATACTGATGTTACCGCCTGAGTGGGTGATACTGATGTTACTGCCCAGTATAGATGATGATACTGATGATTTACCGCCCCAATGGGTAATACTGATGTTACCGCCCAGTGGATGATACTGATGTTACCGCCCAGTGGGTGTCCCAACTGATGTTACCGCCCAGTGGGTGTTATGATGTTACCGCCCAGTGGGTGATACTGATGTTACCGCCCAATGGGTAATACTGATGTTACCGCCCAGTGGATGATACTGATGTTACCGCCCAGTGGGTGTTACTGATGTTACAACCATGATGTTACTAGTGGATTATATAGGTGTCTCAACCCATGGGAGTATATAGGTGTCCCAACTAGTGGATTATTTTGGTGTCCCAACTAGTGGATTATATAGGTGTCCCAACTACTGGATTATATAGGTGTCCCAACCCATGAGATGATATAAGTGTTCCAACTAGTGGATTGTAAAGGTGTCTGAACCCATGGGACTGTATAGGTGTCCCAACTGGTTGATTATATTGGTGTCCCAACCCATTGGATAATGTATGTGTCCCAACTATTGGATTATATAGGTGTCCCAACTAGTTGATTATATAGGTGTCTCAACCCATGGGATTGTATAGGTGTCCCAACTACTGTATTATATAGGTGTTCCAAACCAATGGGTAATACTGATGTTGACGCCAAGAGGATGATACTGATGTTACCGCCCAGTGGGTGATACTGATGTTACCGCCCAGTGGATGATACTGATGTTACCGCCCAGTGGGTGATACTGATGTTACTGCCCAGTAGATGATACTGATGTTACCGCCCAATGGGTAATACTGATGTAACCGCCCAGTGGATGATACTGATGTTACCGCCCAGTGGGTGATACTGCTGTTACCGCCCAGTGGGTGATACTGATGTTACCGCCCAGTGGGTGATACTGATGGTACCGTCCAGTGGGTGATACTGATGTTAGCGCCAAGTGGGTGATACTGATGTTACCGCCCAGTGGGTGATACTGATGTTACCGCCCGGAGGGTGTTACTGATGTTACCGCCAAATGGGTGATACTGATGTTACCGCCCAGTGGGTGATACTGATGGTACCGTCCAGTGGGTGATACTGATGTTAGCGCCAAGTGGGTGATACTGATGTTACCGCCCAGTGGGTGATACTGATGTTACCGCCCGGAGGGTGTTGCTGATGTTACCGTCATGATGTTACTAGTGGATTATATAGGTTTCTCAACTGTTGGATAATATAGTAGTTCCAACCGATAGGATTATATAGGTGTCCCAACTACTGGATTATATAGGTGTCCCAACCCATGAGATGATATAAGTGTTCCATCTAGTGGATTGTAAAGGTGTCTGAACCCATGGGACTGTATAGGTGTCCCAACTGATTATATTGGTGTCCCAACCCATTGGATAATGTATGTGTCCCAACTATTGGATTATATAGGTGTCCCAACTAGTTGATTATATAGGTGTCTCAACCCATGGGATTGTATAGGTGTCCCAACTACTGTATTATATAGGTGTTCCAAACCAATGGGTAATACTGATGTTGACGCCAAGAGGATGATACTGAGGTTACCGCCCAGTGGGTGATACTGATGTTACCGCCCAGTGGGTGATACTGATGTTACCGCCAAGTGGGTGATACTGATGTTACTGCCCAGTAGATGATACTGATGTTACCGCCCAATGGGTAATACCGATGTTACCGCCCAGTGGATGATACTGATGTTACCGCCCAGTGGGTGATACTGATGTTACCGCCCAGTGGGTGTTACTGATGTTACCGCCAAATGGGTGATTCTGATGTTACCGCCCAGTGGGTGATACTGATGGTACCGTCCAGTGGGTGATACTGATGTTAGCGCCAAGTGGGTGATACTGATGTTACCGCCCAGTGGGTGATACTGATGTTACCGCCCGGAGGGTGTTACTGATGTGACCACCATGATGTTACTAGTGGATTATATAGGTGTCTCAACCCATGGGAGTATATAGGTGTCCCAACAAGTGGATTATATAGGTGTCCCAACTAGTGGATTATATAGGTGTCCCAACTACTGGATTATATAGGTGTCCCAACTACTGTATTATATAGGTGTCCCAACCCATGAGATGATATAAGTGTTCCAACTAGTGGATTGTAAAGGTGTCTGAACCCATGGGACTGTATAGGTGTCCCAACTGATTATATTGGTGTCTCAACCCATTAGATAATGTATGTGTCCCAACTATTGGATTATATAGGTGTCCCAACTAGTTGATTATATAGGTGTCTCAACCCATGGGATTGTATAGGTGTCCCAACTACTGTATTATATAGGTGTTCCAAACCAATGGGTAATACTGATGTTGACGCAAAGAGGATGATACTGATGTTACCGCCCAGTGGGTGATACTGATGTTACCGCCCAGTGGATGATACTGATGTTACCGCCAAGTGGGTGATACTGATGTTACTGCCCAGTAGATGATACTGATGTTACCGCCCAATGGGTAATACTGATGTTACCGCCCAGTGGATGATACTGATGTTACCGCCCAGTGGGTGATACTGATGTTACCGCCCAGTGGGTGTTACTGATGTTACCGCCAAATGGGTGATACTGATGTTACCGCCCAGTGGGTGATACTGATGGTACCGTCCAGTGGGTGATACTGATGTTAGCGCCAAGTGGGTGATACTGATGTTACCGCCCAGTGGGTGATACTGATGTTACCGCCCGGAGGGTGTTACTGATGTTACCACCATGATGTTACTAGTGGATTATATAGGTTTCTCAACTATTGGATAATATAGTAGTTCCAACCGATAGGATTATATAAGTGTCCCAACTATTGGAGTATATCGGTGTCCCAACTACTGGATTATATAGGTGTCCCAACTACTGGATTATATAGGTGTCCCAACTACTGGATTATATAGATGTCCCAACCCATGAGATGATATAAGTGTTCCAACTAGTGGATTGTAAAGGTGTCTGAACCCATGGGACTGTATAGGTGTCCCAACTAGTTGATTATATTGGTGTCCCAACCCATTGGATTATGTATGTGTCCCAACTATTGGATTATATAGGTGTCCCAACTAGTGGATTGTAAAGGTGTCTGAACCCATGGGATTGTATAAGTGTCCCAACTAGTGGATTATATTGGTGTCCCAACCCATTGGATTATGTATGTGTCCCAACTATTGGATTATATAGGTGTCCCAACTAGTGCATTATATTGGTGTCCCAACCCACTTGATTATGTATGTGTCCCAACTAGTTGAGCATATAGGTGTCCCAACTAGTTGATTATATAGGTGTCTCAACCCATGGGATTGTATAGGTGTCCCAACTACTGTATTATATAGGTGTTCCAAACCAATGGGTAATACTGATGTTGAAGCAAAGAGGATGATACTGATGTTACCGCCCAGTGGGTGATACTGATGTTACCGCCCAGTGGATGATACTGATGTTACCGCCAAGTGGGTGATACTGATGTTACTGCCCAGTAGATGATACTGATGTTACCGCCCAAAGGGTAATACTGATGTTACCGCCCAGTGGGTGATACTGATGTTACCGCCCAGTGGGTGATACTGATGTTACCGCCCAGTGGGTGTTACTGATGTTACCGGCAAATGGGTGACACTGATGTTACCGCCCAGTGGGTGATACTGATGGTACCGCCCAGTGGATGATACTGATGTTACCGCCAAGTGGGTGATACTGATGTTACTGCCCAGTAGATGATACTGATGTTACCGCCCAATGGGTAATACTGATGTTACCGCCCAGTGGGTGATACTGATGTTACCGCCCAGTGGGTGATACTGATGTTACCGCCCAGTGGGTGTTACTGATGTTACCGGCAAATGGGTGACACTGATGTTACCGCCCAGTGGGTGATACTGATGGTACCGTCCAGTGGGTGATACTGATGTTAGCGCCAAGTGGGTGATACTGATGTTACCGCCCAGTGGGTGATACTGATGTTACCGCCCGGAGGGTGCTACTGATGTTACCGCCATGATGTTACTAGTGGATTATATAGGTGTCTCAACTATTGGATAATATAGTAGTTCCAACCGATAGGATTATATAGGTGTCCCAACTATTGGAGTATATCGGTGTCCCAACTACTGGATTATATAGGTGTCCCAACTACTGGATTATATAGGTGTCCCAACTACTGGATTATATAGATGTCCCAACCCATGAGATGATATAAGTGTTCCAACTAGTGGATTGTAAAGGTGTCTGAACCCATGGGACTGTATAGGTGTCCCAACTAGTTGATTATATTGGTGTCCCAACCCATTGGATTATGTATGTGTCCCAACTATTGGATTATATAGGTGTCCCAACTAGTGGATTGTAAAGGTGTCTGAACCCATGGGACTGTATAGGTGTCCCAACTAGTTGATTATATTGGTGTCCCAACCCATTGGATTATGTATGTGTCCCAACTATTGGATTATATAGGTGTCCCAACTAGTGGATTGTAAAGGTGTCTGAACCCATGGGACTGTATAGGTGTCCCAACTAGTTGATTATATTGGTGTCCCAACCCATTGGATTATGTATGTGTCCCAACTAGTGGATTATATTGGTGTCCCAACTAGTGCATTATATTGGTGTCCCAACCCACTTGATTATGTAGGTGACCTAACTATTGGATTATATAGGAGTACCAACTAGTGGAGTATATAGGTGTCCCAACTAGTGGAGTATATAGGTGTCCCAACTAGTGGAGTATATAGGTGTCCCAACTAGTGGATTATATAGGTGTCCCAACCCATGAGATTATATAGGTTTTCCAACTAGAGTATTATAAATGTTTGCCAACTAGTGAAGTATACAGGTGTCCCAACTATTGGATAATATAGGTGTCCCAACTGGGTGTTACTGATGTAAGTGGAAGAGATTGATAATCCCATATGCACTTTACGCTCCTACCTCACCGTTTCCACATTTGGCCAGTGTCAGACATTGGAACGGCGCGTCTGTCTCGTGGCATTCGAAGCATCGCCTGTCTGAAGAACAGGAATAATTCCAGCAATGACACATATCTCCATGGTTTCATTCAGTGCGCGTTTAATCACCTCGACCCGAGTCCAGGGTAAGTTGTGCGCCATCACGGTATTAACAGCGGAGAGTGATGGTATATTACAAGGCTGATAGGACAGAGATGAAATCTACCACAGGACAGAGATGAGATTCTTCACAGGGCTTACTGGACAGAGATGAGATCTATCACAGGACTGATAAAGCAGAGATGAAATCTATCACATGGTTGACAGGGCAGAGATGAGATCTATCACAGGGCTTCTTAAGGCAGAGATGAGATCACATCACAGGATAAAGCAGAGTTTACAGGGCAGACAGATCTGAGATCTATCACAGGACTTATCACAGGGATTTACATAGGGCAGACAGGTGAGATCTATCACAGGGTTTACAGGGAGACAGGTGAGATCTATCACAGGGTTTACAGGGGACACAGGTGAGATCTATCACAGGGTTTACAGGGACAGGTGAGATCTAGGCTTTACAGGGCAGACAGGTGAGATCTATCACAGGACAGGGCAGACAGGTGAGATCTATCACAGACAGGGAGTGAGATCTATCACAGGGACTTTACAGGGCAGACAGGTGAGATCTATCACAGGGTTTACAGGGCAGACAGGTGAGATCTATCACAGGGTTTACAGGGCAGACAGGTGAGATCTATCACAGGGCTTACAGGGCAGACAGGTGAGATCTATCACAGGGCTTTTAGGCAGAGATGAGATCTATCACAGGGACAGGATGAGATCTATCACAGGGACTTACAGGGCAGACAGGTGAGATCTATTACAGGTTTACAGGGCAGACAGACAGGTGAGATCTATCACAGGGTTTACAGGGCAGACAGGTGAGATCTATCACAGGGTTTACAGGGCAGACAGGTGAGATCTATCACAGGGTTTACAGGGCAGACAGGTGAGATCTATCACAGGGTTTACAGGGCAGACAGAGGTGAGATCTATCACAGGGTTTACAGGGCAGACAGGTGAGATCTATCACAGGACTTACACGGCAGACAGGTGAGATCTATCACAGGGTTTACAGGGCAGACAGGTGAGATCTATCACAGGGTTTACAGGGCAGACAGGTGAGATCTATCACAGGGTTTACAGGGCAGACAGGTGAGATCTATCACAGGGTTTACAGGGCAGACAGGTGAGATCTATCACAGGGTTTACAGGGCAGACAGGTGAGATCTATCACAGGGTTTACAGGGCAGACAGGTGAGATCTATCACAGGGTTTACAGGGCAGACAGGTGAGATCTATCACAGGGTTTACAGGGCAGACAGGTGAGATCTATCACAGGACTTACAGGGCAGACAGGTGAGATCTATCACAGGACTTACAGGGCAGACAGGTGAGATCTATCACAGGGTTTACAGGGCAGACAGGTGAGATCTATCACAGGGTTTACAGGGCAGACAGGTGAGATCTATCACAGGGTTTACAGGGCAGACAGGTGAGATCTATCACAGGAGATCTTACAGGGTTTACAGGGCAGACAGATGAGATCTATCACAGGGTTTACAGGGGAGACAGGTGAGATCTATCACAGGGTTTACAGGGCAGACAGGTGAGATCTATCACAGGGTTTACAGGGCAGACAGGTGAGATCTATCACAGGGTTTACAGGGCAGACAGGTGAGATCTATCACAGGGTTTACAGGGCAGACAGGTGAGATCTATCACAGGGTTTACAGGGCAGACAGGTGAGATCTATCACAGGGTTTACAGGGGAGACAGGTGAGATCTATCACAGGGTTTACAGGGCACACAGGTGAGATCTATCACAGGGGACAGGTGAGATCTATCTATCACAGGGTTTACAGGGCAGACAGGTGAGATCTATCACAGGGTTTACAGGGCAGACAGGTGAGATCTATCACAGGGTTTACAGGGCAGACAGGTGAGATCTATCACAGGGTTTACAGGGGAGACAGGTGAGATCTATCACAGGGTTTACAGGGCAGACAGGTGAGATCTATCACAGGGTTACAGGGCAGACAGGTGAGATCTATCACAGGGTTTACAGGGGAGACAGGTGAGATCTATCACAGGGTTTACAGGGCAGACAGGTGAGATCTATCACAGGGGTTTACAGGGCAGACAGGTGAGATCTATCACAGGGTTTACAGGGCAGACAGGTGAGATCTATCACACAGGGTTTACAGGGAGACAGGTGAGATCTATCACAGGGTTTACACAGGGAGACAGGTGAGATCTATCACAGGGTTTACAGGGCAGACAGGTGAGATCTATCACAGGGTTTACAGGGCAGACAGGGATCTATCACAGGGTTTACAGGGCAGGAGACAGGGCAGACAGGTGAGATCTATCATCACAGGGGTTATACAGGGTTTACAGGGCAGACAGGTGAGATCTATCACAGGGTTTACAGGGCAGACAGGTTTACAGGGCAGACAGGTGAGATCTATACACAGGATCTATTACAGGGCAGACAGGTGAGATCTATCACAGGGTTTACAGGGGAGACAGGTGAGATCTATCACAGGGTTTACAGGGCAGACAGGTGAGATCTATCACAGGGTTTACAGGGCAGACAGGTGAGATCTATCACAGGGTTTACAGGGGAGACAGGTGAGATCTATCACAGGGTGAGATCTTTTTACAGGGCAGACAGGTGAGATCTATCACAGGGTTTACAGGGCAGACAGGTGAGATCTATCACAGGGTTTACAGGGCAGACAGGTGAGAGATCTATCACATCACAGGGTTTCACAGGGCAGACAGGTGAGATCTATCACAGGGTTTACAGGGCAGACAGGTGAAGATCTATCACAGGGTTTACAGGGCAGACAGGTGAGATCTATCACAGGGTTTACAGGGCAGACAGGTGAGATCTATCACAGGGTTTTACAGGGGATCTAGACAGGGGTGAGATCTATATCACAGGGTTTACAGGGCAGACAGGTGAGAGATCTATCACAGGGTTTACAGGGCAGACAGGTGAGATCTATCACAGGGACTTACAGGACTTACAGAGACAGGTGAGATCTATCACAGGGTTTACAGGCAGACAGATGAGATCTATCACAGGGACTTACAGGGCAGACAGATGAGATCTATCACAGGGGTTCTACACAGGGTTTACAGGGCAGACAGGTGAGATCTATCACAGGGTTTACAGGGCAGACAGGTGAGATCTATCACAGGGTTTACAGGGCAGACAGGTGAGATCTATCACAGGAGTTTTGACAGGGGAGACAGGTGAGATCTATCACAGGGTTTACAGGGCAGACAGGTGACATCTATCACAGGGTTTACAGGGCAGACAGGTGAGATCTATCACAGGGTTTACAGGGCAGACAGGTGAGATCTATCACAGGGGGCAGACAGGGAGATCTATCACAGGGTTTACAGGGGAGATCTATCACAGGGTTTACAGGGCAGACAGGTGAGATCTATCACAGGGTTTACAGGGCAGACAGGTGAGATCTATCACAGGGTTTACAGGGCAGACAGGTGAGATCTATCACAGGGTTTACAGGGCAGACAGGTGAGATCTATCACAGGGTTTACAGGGGAGACAGGTGAGATCTATCACAGGGTTTACAGGGCAGACAGGTGACAGGTGAGATCTATCACAGGGTTTACAGGGCAGACAGGTGAGATCTATCACAGGGTTTACAGGGCAGACAGGTGAGATCTATCACAGGACTTACAGGGCAGACAGGTGAGATCTATCACAGGGACTTACAGGGCAGACAGGTGAGATGAGATCTATCACACAGGTGAGATCTATCACAGGGCAGACAGGGAGATCTATCACAGGGTTTACAGGGCAGACAGGTGAGATCTATCACAGGGTTTACAGGGCAGACAGGTGAGATCTATCACATCACAGACAGGTGAGATCTATCACAGGGTTTAGAGACAGGTGAGATCTATGAGATCTATCACAGGACTTACAGGGCAGACAGGTGAGATCTATCACAGGGTTTACAGGGGAGACAGGTGAGATCTATCACAGGGTTTACAGGGCAGACAGGTGAGATCTATCACAGGGTTTACAGGGCAGACAGGTGAGATCTATCACAGGGTTTACAGGGCAGACAGGTGAGATCTATCACAGGGTTTACAGGGCAGACAGGTGAGATCTATCACAGGGTTTACAGGGGAGACAGGTGAGATCTATCACAGGGTTTACAGGGGAGACAGGTGAGATCTATCACAGGGTTTACAGGGCAGACAGGTGAGATCTATCACAGGGTTTACAGGGCAGACAGGTGAGATCTATCACAGGGTTTACAGGGCAGACAGGTGAGATCTATCACAGGGTTTACAGGGCAGACAGGTGAGATCTATCACAGGAGTTTTTACAGGGCAGACAGGTGAGATCTATCACAGGGTTTACAGGGCAGGGTGAGATCTATCAGACAGGGTTTGAGGGCAGACAGGTGAGATCTATCACAGGGTTTACAGGGCAGACAGGTGAGATCTATCACAGGGTTTACAGGGCAGACAGGTGAGATCTATCACAGGGTTTACAGGGCAGACAGGTGAGATCTATCACAGGGTTTACAGGGGAGACAGGTGAGATCTATCACAGGGTTTACAGGGCAGACAGGTGAGATCTATCACAGGGTTTACAGGGGCAGACAGGTGAGATCTATCACAGGGTTTACAGGGCAGACAGGTAGATCTATCACAGGGTTTACAGGGCAGACAGGTGAGATCTATCACAGGGTTTACAGGGCAGACAGGTGAGATCTATCACAGGGTTTACAGGGCAGACAGGTGAGATCTATCACAGGGTTTACAGGGCAGACAGTCTGTAAGGGACATAATCATTCATAAATAGACATTGAAACGCCTCATTATAATCGATTTAAAGAACATTCATATGTTAATTAGATGTCGATCAGTGTTTTGTACTTATGACGTTCTGGCGTTTAGACAAGTCCTCTTCATCTGTGCCGCTGATGACGTCACACGCCAGCAAGAGGGTCATCATCTAAATGTCAAAGTGACACAGCCAATCACTGAACAACCAATCGGTGGCCTGGATAACAGTATCTAACATATATTGGATACCAGAAATCTCTGTTTTTCAATCAAAATATCAGATGGATTTACTGCATGTTTGGATCAACTTCCAAAACAATCGACTCTTGTTCGTTTACGCTAAAGGAAAGGTAGAGTTTAAGGTAAGTGATCTTCAACAGTGACAGATTCTCGCGGAACAACTCACCAACAGCTTTAAGTCCGCCATGTTGGTTCGCATCGGGCTGGCACACACCGTTTGAAGGTCGAACTCTTATCGCCCTAAGTCAATGTACGACAAATAGATAGCAGGCTATGGCCACGACTGATAAGAACTGGAATAGCTACTAATACGTTACACCGTTAGTTCTTATCATGGTCAGGTGGAATGCTATGCAAGGGAGCGACTCTCTGCTTCTCAGATGGAGAAATACAGAGAAATGTTCCGAGACTGAAATGTGAGATATGAACGATGATATATGATTTAGGATACGTGCACAACGGTTTAAAGCGAGAAACAATCGCTTTTGTATATTGTGAAATATGTGCGTTTCCGTAAAACGTAAGACTCCTCTCCAGTCTAACGTGAGATACGATCACTCGTGTATAATATCCGACACATGCACTCCAGTATAATGTGAGATAGGGCACTCCAGTATAATGTGAGATAGGGCACTCCAGTATAATGTGAGATAGGACACTACAGTATAATGTGAGATAGGGGCACTCTAGTATAATGTGAGATTGGGCACTCTAGTATGTGACGATAGGACACTACAGTATAATGTGAGATAGGGGCACTCCAATATAATGTGAGATAGGGGCACTCTAGTATAATGTGAGATAGGACACTACAGTATAATGTGAGATTGGGCACTCCAGTATAATGTGAGATAGGACACTACACTATAATGTGAGATAGGGGCACTCTAGTATAATGTGAGATTGGGCACTCTAGTATAATGTGAGATAGGACACTACAGTATAATGTGAGATAGGGGCACTCTAGCATAATGTGAGATTGGGCCCTCCAGTATAATGCGAGATAGGGCCCTCCAGTATAATGTGAGATGGGCACTCCAGTATTATGTGAGATAGGGCACTCCAGTATAATGTGAGATAGGGTACTACAGTATAATGTGAGATAGGGCACTCCAGTAAAATGTGAGATAGGGCACGACAGTATAATGGTGAGGTGAAATTGGGTTTAACGTCGTGCTTGAGAATATTTCGCTGATGTGACGACGTGCATGCGTGTGTATGTGTATGTGCGGCTGCTTGTACTAACCCAGACTGAAGCTGGTTTTATAGTGCTAGCCCACTGAGATACCATGCCACAGTGAAGCATGACTCAGACACATTATACTGACTCCGAGCCGACCAGTCCTTGTTGTACCTGTTAATACCGAGCGCCAGGCAGGAACCAACAAGAACCATATTTTAACGTCTTTTGGTATGATGCGGTCGGGGATTGAACCCGCGACCTTCAGTTCTCCGGGCGGACGCTGTAACCACTACACCACGGAGGCGGTCACAACCGCGATTTGAAATATATTTATATGATTGAGGAATAGATCCTGGTTAGACTTCATCTTTAGCAACCCATTCTTGCCGTAAGAGGCGACTCTTACGCTGACTTGGTTGATGCATGACGTCGTTTCCCGGTTCGTAGATCGACGCTCACAATGTCCTGGATTGTCTGGTCCCGACTCGACTATTTACAGACAGAAGCCATCATATAGCTTGAATATTGCTGAGTGTGGCACCGAACAGCACAGAGACAAGCAAACACAGTCACGAGGTCTCCAATAATACCAACATTATTTCATAGTCATGTTTTATTGCCATCATCTCAGACTAGTGGGCCCTCGCCTCACAGATGTAGTTGTATCCCCGTTGGCGCCATAGGACGCCCAGGCCCAGTTAGTGAAGCCAGAGTTCTGCTGGGGATTCAACATGGCGATGGTGTAGCTGTAGGACTTGTAGCGGGGCTGAGAGGGACCCCAGTTGGTGAACGTGACGGGCCGGTAGTCGGGCCAGGTCCAGGAGGAGGTGGCAGTCACATAGTACCCACCGATCCAGTAGACTGATACCTTCGTCTCTGGGAACAAACAGTACAGTAGGTTATAAGATGTGATGGTGGTGTTCGAAGATCAGATCAGAGATGTGTCAGATACATGTACTTGTGTTTGTAGATCAAACGTGATCAGTGTGCTTAGATCAGAAGCGTGTCAGTGTTCTTAGATCAGACATGTGTCAGTGTGCTTAGATCAGACGCGTGTCAGTGTACTTAGATCAGACACCTGTCAGTGTGCTCAGATCAGACGCGTGTCAGTGTTCTTAGATCAGACGCGTGTCAGTGTTCTTAGATCAGACACCTGTCAGTGTGCTTAGATCAGACACGTGTCAGTGTGCTTAGATCAGACGCGTGTCAGTGTACCTTAGATCAGACACCTGTCAGTGTGCTTACATCAGACGCGTGTCAGTGTTCTTAGATCAGACACCTGTCAGTGTGCTTAGATCAGACGTGATCAGTGTGCTTAGATCAGACGCGTGTCAGTGTACCTAGATCAGACACCTGTCAGTGTGCTCACATCAGACGCGTGTCAGTGTTCTTAAATCAGACGCGAGTCAGTGTTCTTAGATCAGACACCTGTCAGTGTGCTTAGATCAGACGCATGTCAGTGTGCTTAGATCAGACGCGTGTCAGTGTGCTTAGATCAGACGCGCGTCAGTGTTCTCAGATCAGACGCGCGTCAGTGTGCTTAGATCAGAAGCGTGTCTGTGTTCTTATATCAGACGCGTGTCAGTGTTCATAAATCAGACGCGTGTCAGTGTGCTTAGATCAGACGCGTGTCAGTGTGCTTAGATCAGACGCGTGTCAGTGTTCTTAGATCAGACGCGTGTCAGTGTTCTTAGATCAGATCAGTGTTCTTAGATCAGACGCGTGTCAGTGTTCTTCAGTGTTCTTAGATCAGACGCGTGTCAGTGTTCTTAGATCAGACGCGTGTCAGTGTTCTTAGATCAGAAACGTGTCCAGTGTTCTTAGATCAGAAACGTGTCAGTGTTCTTAGATCAGAAACGTGCCAGTGTTCTTAGCTTAGATCAGAGAAACGTGTCAGTGTTGCTTAGATCAGAAACGTGTCAGTGTTCTTAGATCAGAAACGTGTCAGTGTTCTTAGATCAGAAGCGTGTCAGTGTTCTTAGATCAGAAACGTGTTCTTAGATCAGTGTTCTTAGATCAGAAACGTGTCAGTGTTCTTAGATCCGAAACGCGTGTCAGTGTTCTTAAGACGTGTCAGTGTTCTTAGATCAGAAACGTGTCCAGTGTTCTTAGATCAGACGCGTGTCAGTGTTCTTAGATCAGAAACGTGTCAGTGTTCTTAGATCAGACACAGTGTGTCAGTGTTCTTAGAGTCAGATTGCTTCGTCAGACTTGTCCAGTGTCAGATCAGACACGTGTCAGTGTTTAGATCAGACGCGTGTCAGTGTGTTCTTAGATCAGACACGTGTCAGTGTGCTTAGATCAGACGTGTCAGTGTAGATCAGACGTGTGTCAGTGTGCTTAGATAGATCAGACGCATGTCAGTGTTCTTAGATCAGACAGATATGTCAGTGTTCTTAGATCAGACGCATGTCAGTGTGCTTAGATCAGACACGTGTCAGTGTGCTTAGATCAGACGCGTGTCAGTGTGCTTAGATCAGACTGTCAGACATGTGTCAGTGTGCTTAGATCAGACACGTGTCAGTGTTCTTAGATCAGAGATATGTCAGTGTTCTTAGATCAGACGCGTGTCAGTGTTCTTAGATGTCAGTTAGATCAGACGCGTGTCAGTGTGCTTAGATCAGACATGTCAGTGTGTAGAGTGTCTTGTTCTCAGATCAGACGTGTCAGTGTGCTTAGATCAGACACGTGTCAAGTGTGTTTAGATAGATCAGACACGTGTCAGTGTGCTTAGAGACGCCTGTCAGTGTGTCAGACATGTCCAGTGTTGCTTAGATCAGACACGTGTCGAGTGTTCTTAAATCAGAGATGTGTCAGTGTTCTTAGATCAGAAACGTGTCAGTGTTCTTAGATCAGAGATGTGTCAGTGTTCTTAGATCAGAAACGTGTCAGTGTTCTTAGATCAGAGATGTGTCAGTGTTCTTAGATCAGAATACGTGTCAGTGTTCTTAGATCAGACGCGTGTCAGTGTGCTTAGATCAGACGCGTGTCAGTGTTCTTAGATCAGACATGTGTCAGTGTGCTTAGATCAGAGATGTGTCAGTGTGCTTAGATCTGACATGTGTCAGTGTGCTTAGATCAGACATGCGTCAGTGTGCTTAGATCAGAAACGTGTCAGTGTTCTTAGATCAGACACGTGTCAGTGTTCCTAGATCAGACACGTGTCAGTGTGCTTAGATCAGACACCTGTCAGTGCTTAGATCAGACACGTGTCAGTGTTCTTAGATCAGACGCGTGTCAGTGTGCTTAGATCAGAGATGTGTCAGTGTTCTTAGATCAGACACCTGTCAGTGTTCTTAGATCAGATGTGTCAGTGTGCTTAGATCAGACACGTGTCAGTGTGCTTAGATCAGACGCGTGTCAGTGTGCTTAGATCAGATGTGTCAGTGTGCTTAGATCAGAAACGTGTCAGTGTTCTTAGATCAGACGCTGTCAGTGTGCTTAGATCAGACATGTGTCAGTGTTCTTAGATCAGACATGTGTCAGTGTGCTTAGATCAGACACGTGTCTGTGTTCTTAGATCTGATACGTGTCAGTGTTCTTAGATCAGAAACGTGTCAGTGTTCTTAGATCAGAAACGTGTCAGTGTTCTTAGATCAGAAACGTGTCAGTGTTCTTAGATCAGAAACGTGTCAGTGTTCTTAGATCAGGAACGTGTCAGTGTTTTAGATCAGAAACGTGTCAGTGTTCTTAGGTCAGAAACGTGTTAGTGTTCTTATATCCGAAACGTGTCAGTGTTCTTAGATCTGACATGTGTCAGTGTTCTTAGATCAGACATGTGTCAGTGTTCTTAGATCAGACATGTGTCAGTGTGCTTAGATCAGACATGTGTCAGTGTTCTTAGATCAGAGATGTGTCAGTGTGCTTAGATCAGACATGTGTCAGTGTGCTTAGATCAGACATGTGTCAGTGTGCTTAGATCAGACATTTGTTAGTGTGCTTAGATCAGAAACGTGTCAGTGTTCTTAGATCAGACATGTGTCAGTGTGCTTACATCAGACATGTGTCAATGTGCTTAGATCAGACATGTGTCAGTGTGCTTAGATCAGACGTGTATCAGGGTGCTTAGATCAGACATGTGTCATTGTTCCGATCGAATAAGTGTTGTGT